CTGTTGCTGAAGTCATATTTTCTGCAATCGAGTTTGGAGCGGTTCACTTTAAGTTTGTATCTATTGTGTGCTTGTGTATTGTTGTGGTTGAAGCTGAAGTAGTCATTGACAGGTAGGACATTGTAGCAGATGATTTTATGAGCTATGCTTAGGTCATACCAAAGGCGGTGTAGTTCTAAATTTTCTAAGCCCAAAATTTCAAGTGTGGTGGCATAAGGTATTTTGTTGCGAGCAGAGGAGTGGAGGACTCTTCTTGTGAAATATTTTTGGACATGTTCAATTATATTAATGTCGGATATGCAGTGCGGGTTCCAGACAGATTAGCTGTATTCAAGAATTGATCTAGCAAATGTTTTGTATACTCTGGTTAGTAGTGTAATATTACCGGAGAAGAAGCTATGCAAGATTAGGTTTACAACCCTTAATGCATTTTTGGCAATGTTGTTACAGTGGGCTTTGGCACTTAAATCATTTGATATGAGTACTCCAAGGTCCTTGACAGAGTGAGGGTCATCTACAAGGTTGTGTCCACTCAGCTTGTATTTTGTGTTCTGATTCTTTTTGCCAGAGCATTTGTTGGTTGAGATTTGGAGTTGCCAATTTTTTGACCATTCCGACACAAAGTCAAGGTCTTTTTGAAGGGTAGCAGCATTGTTGGTGGTGTTAAATAGTTTTACATCATTGGCGAAGAGAACACAGTTACATAATATGATCACAAAGGTCATTTATGTATAGTATGAAGAGTGTTGGTCCTAGAATGATGCCTTGGGGGACACTGCTATTAATAGGGCACTCCCTATTTTGACCACTTGTTGTCTGTTTGATAGAAACACAGTTATCCAATTATGGAGGGGCCCGGAGATGCCATAGGATTTCAGTTTTAGAAGTAGTTTGTCATGTACCACTGAATCAAAGGTTTTACACAAGTCTATGTAAATCGCATCTATTGCTTTGCCCTGGTCAAGATTTGTAGTCCATATGTTTTTGCAGTGTAGAAGTTGTAGATTACAGGATAATTTTTTTCTAAAACCAAATTGTTTATTAAAGAATAGGTTGTTTGTTTCCAGGTGGAGGGTAATGGATTGGTTGATGATTGATTCCATGACTTTGCAGGTGACATAACATAAAGAGATTGGTCTGTAATTTTCAACTAGACTGGGGTCCTCCATTTCTATGGAATGGAGCCAGTATCTTGAATTTCATCCAGAAATCAGTTGGGAGCCAATTCTGCTTATAAAGTAGGGGTATTAATTATATGGACATATCATAATGTGCCCATTACTAGTTTTGCTGCCACATTCTGCATCAATTCAGCTTCCAGATATTCTTCAAGAACAGCCCCATGCCAGTAGTAATATTCACTTATCTTCACTACTGGTTCATAACATGAAGAGCACTCAGAGGCTCCAACTGTTCCAGAATGCGGCCGCGTGGGTGGTTATGGGCGCAACCCATTGTGCCCATGTGACACCCCTCCTGCACGAGCTGCACTGGCTCCCAGTGTTCTTCTGGGTGTGATTCAAGGTGTTGGTTACCACCTTTAAAGCGCTCCATGGCATAGGACCCAGGTACCTTCGAGACTGACTTCTGCCACCAGTAGCCTCCCACTGGCCAGTTCACTCCCACAGAGAGGGTCTCCTCAGGGTGCCATCGGCCAAGTTATATCGGCTGATGACACCCAGGGGGAGGGCCTTCTCTGTGGGAGCCCCAGCCCTGTGGAATGAACTGCCCCTGGAAATGCGTAAGATCTCCGACCTCAGAGTATTTTGCTGTGCCCTTAAGACCCTGCTGTTCCATCAGGCCGGGCTATCAATGTAATGATTTTAAATTGGATGTTTTAAATTTTTTGGGGGGGGGTTAATATTGAGCCGAAATTATTTAATAATTTTAAATAATTTTAATTGTTGTTTGTCTTTGTGCTTTTAATAGGCTGTACACTGCCCTGAGTCTTTCAGGAGAAGGGTGGTATAGAAATAAAATTAAATAAATAAAAAAAAAATAAATAACATGTGCACTCTGCATGCACAGAGTGTCCATGATGACATCTGGGCAGATGCTTGTGATCATAAGAGAACTGGCTTTAATACTGTGGTCAGATGCTAATTTGAGAAATAAAGGAAAGAATAATTACAGAAGACAAAAATGGTACTAATATATTGTTGCCACCAAAAAAAAAAAAAAAAAAAGGATGTTTCTATGTTGTCACCAGATGGTGAGCAAAAACTCAAGCAAGTTTTTACTTTTTACCTCTGGGAATATTTAATTCAAATGGAATTGATGTGGAGGAAAGGAAGCTCATCACAATCAAGGCAGCTCAGTATCCTCTATGTTTACAACTTGGCCAACACTTACTTTTTAAGTGTAGTAGAAGAAGAGGATCTTTGAAAGATCTTGGTGAAAGGTGGAATATGAAGTGTAATCAATGAATCTGTAGAATTAATTGTCTGGCTGTTCCTTATTTCTTGGTTTTATATGTGAATAGTAGAAAATAGCCTTTTAAAAAATGAATGGATTTGATTTGATTTTACCTATAACAGCCTTCCTCTAGGATAGCTTGGGACAGAGCACTTGACTTCCAGCAATTCTTCTTTTAGATGTTAAACTTGTCTTTGCCCCGTTGCATTAAGAAGCATTTCCCCCTTGCCTTTCCCACTTTTCCATTTATTTATTTAGGATGATGATGACGATGATGATGATGACGATGATGATATCCATTCAGTCTGGTCCAAATCTCATCAGGCTCAAGGTTGACTCAGGCTTCCATCCTTCTGAGGTGGGTAAAATGAGGACCCAAATTGTTGGGGGCAAGATGCTGACCCTGTAAGCGACTTAGAGAGGGCTGGAAAGCACTGTAAAGCAGTATATAAGTTTAAGTGCTATTGCTTTCCTCTTTACAAGAGAGATACTCCTGCAAATGCCATCACCAAAGACTAATGGCAAAATTATCGGCTACTTGTCCCCAGAAATTGATGTACATCCAGAATCCAGTTGGGCACATAAAGATTGCATGTAGTTATGGAATATAACTGTGAATGGCCCTTTCACCCATTTTTCCTTAAGCTTTTTTTTTTTTTTTTAGTCAACTAAACTAATGGCCATCACCTCATCTTGGGGTGATGGATTTCACAAGTTAATTAGGTGTTATGTGAAGCAATACTTTCTTTTGTCCATCCAGAGCATACTGCCAATTAGCTGTTTGTTGTGCGTATAATTAAAGTACAGCTCAGGGAATCAGAGAAAAGTCATTGAGTGCCACAAAGAGAAAGGACACCAGGCCTCTGTGAATACTGAAGAATGTTTCATCAAAACTGGAAATCCAGTTTGACAGCATCTGTCCTGCCAAACATTGAGATCCTTTGGGATTTGTTTTTTTTAATATAATTTCTTGATTGCAGTTCTATCCTTCAAACCTGTGTTCAAAATGGAAAGCCTAACATTAAATATTTCCTGATGAATATATTAATTATTGTTCTCCTGAGCGAAGATGTTCTTGGAGGAGAAAAGGGTGACAGTGTCACATCTGAATTAAAGTATTTTGCAAATTAATTACACTCTGGTTGACTCTCTCTGGAGCAGAGATTCCTGCCCTAGGATGGGGGGGCCTTGAAGTGGAGGAATCAGTCTATCCCATAATCTATCCAAGTGGATATGAAAGCAAAATCCAAGAAAAAGTGAGAATTCACAGTTTATCAAGCTGTAACTGTTTTAAGTATGATAGATATATTTTCACTCAGATTTCCTGCAGAAGAGAGGAAGCAACAAAATCTGATTTCTGTCAACCAAGAACATTGTTTTTTATATGTTACTTAATTCTCTGTATTATATGCTGCCCATCTCACTGTCATGTGATTCTGGGTGGTTTACAACATGATAAAACAATATTATAAAAATAAAACAAAAATATAACCTTAGAATTAACAGAGAATTAGTCAAGATACGGGATAATGTACCACAGGTGGAGGTGGGATCTTCTATTTAACCCACTAACCATCTCAAGAATGGCACATTCCAAAAAGTCAGGAGTGTGATGGTGGATCTTATCTCAAAGGGTACAACGTTACAGTAAAGGATTTTCTGGATCCCATCAGTCAGAATTCTTTGACTGATAGGGTCCATAACATGTCCCTTCTTACAGCAAAAGTGAGGTAGGCAAATTCCATTGGGATGCAATGGTTCTTCAGGTAACCTGGGAAGTCCTAGTTCCCCAAAAGGCCATATTTTTGACATCTGCACAATCCAAAGAGCATGACCCAGTAATTCCATGACATTTCAGTTCTCTGGAAAATTCATCTTTACATCTGAAACTGCTTAGGAGTTATGTGAAGCAAGGTCTTTGCCCCACATTCTTTCTCAGTGACAGAGTTCTATGTATGAAGGTTTGGGCGGAGAGACCCTACAGCTATCTTCAAAGCAAAAAAACCCCATAAATATGGAAGAAAACAAGATGTGTGCTCTGGTTTTTCTCCATGTACATTTTTACTTGAAAAGCCAAAGTATAAATGTAACTATGCTACCCTGAATTGAATTGTTGAACATGCTTGATCAGAACAGTCTAGACAAGATTCCATTTGTGACAAAACTTGTCATCAAAACTTAATTACATCTTAGAATTAGGCATTCTGGGAAAGCATGGCAAGATTAAAAGACTAGTCAAGGATATCACAATGCTCTCCATGCTCGGAATGTTCAAATATAAGATGAATGTCATCATAAGTATGTAGATTTGTAGGGTTCATGTAGGCCAGGGGTGTCAAACTCAAGGTCCATGGGTCAGATCCGCCTCCCCCCCCCCCCGAGATCAAACACAACACTGATGCGGCCCTCAATGAAATCGAGTTTGACACTCCTGATGTAGGCCAATCCTTGCTCAGGGCAAGAAAACATCCCTGATAGGTAACTATCAATTCTCCCTGCTCAAATCCAATTTAAAGTGAGGGGCATCTTGCCCATTTCACAGTTGAACTATTCTTCTAGTTGGGAAGTTTTCCCTATCATTTTACCAGTATTCTCTTTCTTGTCATTTAAAATGATGACTCCATAACTCTGCAATGATAGAAAACAGGTTAATTAAATAGTTATTTCCTAGAGAGCCATTGAAAAAAAAAAATCAATATGGTGCTACAACTATACAATACATGAAAAAAAGGGGTTGGATTTCAATCATATGGTTGTGACACCATGTTGTGAGCTGCTGAAAAATCTTTTATATATATAAAAAATAAATTATGCCTTTTTCTTATCTTCCTATTGATGGTCACAGTGCTGATGGGATGTTCTCAAAATTCCAAATTTATTCATTTGCTAAAAAATAAAAAAAATTGAAGTCTGACGATCCCTGGAATAACTTTACTTAGACCTTGACAAGCCTATCAGTCTTCCCCCAAAATGGGTGCTGAAACTCTGTTTATAGAGTCAGATTCACAGAGGAAAATGAGAGGCAATTACTTCTGTAGTGCTGATTAGTCTCTAATTTAGTCCATTAAATGCACAGTCTTGTTCTCACCAGTTCTACTGAGAATGTTTTTTTTTAAAATAAATAAATAAAAATATGATGCAGGAAGATAATCTATCTTTCTAGCAGTTTCCATCAACTTTGTTTAATTGTAGCCTTTTAACAACACAGAGGGAATGAGTTGTATACACCTCCTTTCTCTCTTTTAATTACCTCTATATTTTGTATCTCTGAAGGAAATAACTACTAATCTAATTGAAGGCATTTTATTTATTGTAAAGAGGGAGAAGCATGTGCGAGATACAATTTAAATTAAATGTTCACAGATTATAAACACTCCAGTTACAATTCATTCTGTCTTTCATTCAGATGTAGATGACAGACAGAGATAAAGAGAAAGGAGGTGGGGAAGGAAGATACCTAATAGGGCTTAAAAGTTTGTGAACCTTTTTGAATTGTCAGGATTTCTGCATAAACATGACCTAAAACAGTGGTCACTGTTGGAGGGGGCCAGAAATTCTGACTTGGGGTCTGCTTCAGCCTCCTGGTGCAGGGCTTTGGGCGAAGGCTGGAGGGAAGCGCCACTGATGGCGAAGAGCCGGAGGGCCTTGTTCCAGTGGGACAGCATCATGGCCTAGAACTGGCTGACCATCTCAGCCTGTTGAATCTCCAGGCCTTGTACTCCCGCAGGTTTTCCCTCTGCTTGGAAAGCCTATGCTTGTAGTTCTTGGTGAGGTGCTTCTATTTAGCCTCCTTCTTGGTCAGATCCAATTTGAACTGAGCTGTTTTGCCAACTCTTTCTCGTGGTGGCTGCTTAGCTCTAACAACTGCTTCCAGTTGGGGCCCTAAGGAGCCTGAGTGGGGAGGCAAGGAGTGGCTGGCAGGGGAGGGCTGAGTAGAGGCCAGCAAGGAGCCCCTCGATGTGAGTGACATCGAGTTGGACATCGAGTTGGACATGTCCACCCAGTCACATGACCACCTAGCCACGCACATCCAGCCACTCATTAGGCAGATCATATTAGTGGGATTTAAAATTATGAATTTAGGGGTCCCTGAGGTCCGAAAGGTTGGGGACCCCTGACCTAAAACATGATCTGGTTTTTTTTCCCCACACTAATCCTAAAATTAGATAAAGAGAACCTCATTAAACAAATGAGTCAAAACCATTATACTTATTCATTTATTTATTGAGGAAAATAATCCAGAGATACATATTTGTGTGAGGCAAAAGCATCAGTAACTTGTGTGCCCACACACATCCACCTTGAATAGTAATAATCACAAATAATTGTTATTCAGTCTTGCATGTCACCTTGGAGGAATTTTAGACCGTTTCTTCTTACAGAACAGCTTTAACTCAAGGATGTCAGTAGACTTCCTCACATGAACTGCTCATCAGCTGTGGTGGTGCAGTGGTTAGACTGCAATATTGTAGGCTAACTCAGTGCTCACTGCCAGGAGTTCGATCCTCACTGGCTCAAGGTTGACTCAGACTTCCATCCTTTCGAGATAGAATAGAATATAATAACAGATTTGGAAGGGACCTTGGGGGTCTTCTAGTCCAACTCCCTGCATAGGCAGGAAACCCTACACCACTTCAGACAAATGGTTATCCAACCTCTTCTTAAAAAGTTCCAGTGTTGGAGCATTCACAACTTCTGGAGGCAAGTTGTTCCACTGATTAATTGTTCTAACTATCAGGATATTTCTCCTTAGTTCTAAATTGCTTCTCTCCTTGATTAGTTTCCACCCATTGCTTCTCGTTCTACCCTCAGGTGCTTTAGAGTTCTACCCTCAGGTGCTTTGGAGATGGATAAAATGAGGACCTAGATTGTTGGGGGCTATATGCTGAATCTGTAAACCACTTAGGGAGGGCTGTAAAGCACTGTGAAGTGGTATATAAGTCTATGTGCTATTGCTATCTCAGATCATCTCACAACATTTCTATAAGGTTAAGGTCAGATTATTTCAAAACATTAACTTACTTATCCCACCTTTATTATTTTTATAAATACCTCTATATGAACACTCATATTCCTCCTCCTATTTTCCACACAACAACCCTGTAACCATTTTTTGGTCACACAACTTATTTTTAGGTCATTTCCTTGTTCCATAATTCACTTTCCCTTAGGCTTTAATTCATAAGCAGACAGCAGATATTTTCTTATAGAATTTGCTGGTACAGTTCAGAATTCATAGTTTCACAAAGGATAGCAAGCCATCCTGGTCCAGAGGCAGCAAAGCAGATTCAAACCATAATAACCAGAACAACTAGACACAAGAACAGTTTTTTCCCAAACACCATCACTCTGCTAAACAAATAATTTCCTTAATACTGTCAAAGTAGTTACTAAGTCTGCATTACTATTAATCTTTTCATCGTTCCTGTCACCCATCTCCTCCCACTTATGACTGTATGACTGTAACCTTGTTGCTGGTATCCTTAAGATTTATACTGACTGTTTCCCTATGACTATCATTAAGTGTTGTACCTTATGATTCTTGACAAATGTATCTTTTCTTTTATGTACACTGAGACCGTATGCACCAAGACAAATTCCTTGTGTGTCCAATCACACTTGGCCAATAAAAATTCTATTCTATTCTATTCTATTCTATTCTATTCTATTCTATTCTATTCTATTCTATTCTATTCTATTCTATTCTATTCTATTCTAATACTTTCACTACCATATTTTACAGATAGGATACGTTTCTTACACTGGCATGCAGGGTTTGCCCTTCATTAAGCATGACACTTTCAGCTCAAGCCAAAAAGTCCAATTTTGGACTCACATGATCTTTCAGAAACTGCAGATGACCAGAAATGTTCTTTTTGGAGAGCAGTGGCTTTGTCCTTGTAACCCTGCCATGTATACCATTATTGTTCAATATTCTTCTGGTGGTGGTCTTATGAACACTGATGTTTGTCAATGCAAGAGGGGTCTTTCATCCTTTATATGTTACCCTGGGGTTCTTAGAGATCTCCCAAAGTATTGCATGCTTTATTCTTGGTTTGATCTTGGTCAACCTTTCCTGAGTAGGATAACAATGGTGTTGAATTGCCTCCATTTGTACACAGTCTGTCTGACAGTGGATTGCTGGGATCCAAACTCTTTAGAAAAAGTTGTGTAACCTTTTCCAGCCAGGTGAGCATCAACAAATATTTCTTGGGAAATCCTCCTTTGTCAAGCCATGACACACTTCCATATACTTACGTTGCAAAGATCAGCCTCTAATAATGAATACCCAGAATTCTGCTCTTTCTGTAACGCAGGTCAACCCACGGCCCAATTATCATCCTATGGAGTCAAACAACTGACTCTAATTTTATCTTTAAATGAGTAGGAAGGTTCACATATTTTTGTCATACACAAATATTTAGCTTTGTATTATTTCCTACAATAAATAAAGAAGTGTAATATTTTTACTCATTTGCTTAATCAGGTTCTCTTTATCTAGTTTTAGAACTTGTGGAGAACAGATCACTTTTTAGGTCATATTTATGCAAAAATATTGAACATTCAAAACAGTTGAATTTGGCATAGAAACACTTTATACCAATTTTTTTTCCAGGTTTGGTGGATCTGGAAGCTGCTTTTTTAATTTAAAGAGGTGATTGGGTGCTTCTTTGTAATATATATATAAAGTTTATAAATATCCTTGGACAGAGTACATGCTTCTCTATAATATTGCAATTAATTTGCTCTTACACTAAATTCACATGGATCATGATTAAGTCAATTTTTTAACTCAGTTTAGTGAAGAAGAATTTCATTTAGGATTTTTTTCCAAGGAGAAGGGCATGTTGGGTAAACAGCGTACTATTGTTGCAATTATTTAGTGATGAGGCAATTATTTAGTGATGAAGAGAATGTGCGAAAGTTCAGATTTTGTGGTCCAGTCTACAGCAATTTTCAGCATACTGACTTCTTGTGCTTGCAGAATTATGAAATGTCTCATCCCAACACATCTGGAAAGCACCAGATGTGTTCCAGAGTAAGGAAAGCTGATGCTGATTAATAAAGTTACTAATCTATGTTGCGTTTTTATAGTGATTATTGTTAACCATTAAAAATAACCTATTTGTTGTTTCCTATTTGATTTTGCTACTCATTCTGATGCTCATTTTCTTTAATGAGAAAGTGGGTCTAAATATTTTAGTGAATAAATTAATAATAACAGCAAAACTATGTTCAGAAGTAATAGGAATGTGCTACACTATGCTAAGGACATTTAAAATTTGCCTTGCTATTAACTGATACACAGCACATTCAATCCAAGACTCATAAAAGTGGCTCTGTGATTTTTGCAATTTAGATCCACATAATTGTACATCTTGCATATTATTATCTACCACCAGCCTCAAGTTGTACATTATCATCTCCAATAAAGCAAGTATAATACAGACCAGAAGAAATCAGTTATAATAAAACAGATAATGACACTTTCTATGTGCTACCATAAAGTCTTTATCTGCATAATTAACCACAATACCATGGAGAAGTCAGTGGAATGGTGAAAAGCATAAACTAATACATTTTGCAATCAAAATATTCAAGCCATGACCATCATAAAATGGCAATGTTTGGAGAATACTTT